CACCCATGCCCTTTCACCTGAGCAGATGTGCGCTTAAAGGAATCCTTCCCGGAAAAATTCTTGCATTCTTTCCCAACACGCATATGTCAGTTGTGATCACTAGAGACAACATACAAAGTTTCACGCAAAGATTCAGTTTCCGAAGAGAAACAAACTTACAAAAACTACACTCTATGGAGGGATCGAAGGTAAAAGGCGGGGCATGGAAAGAAGTGGCCTTGGGCGGCTACGTATCAGGCGACGCAATGAAAGAATCGGGTTAAAGCGCGCGATTTTGGAGAGTAGAGACAAATCGATCGATAGAATAGGATGCAGTAGAAGTGTGAGATGTGAATGCAATAAGTCAAAAGGCCAGAAAGAGTTTCTAGTGAAGGCACTCCAAGAACCAAGTGGAAGCATTCCCGTCGCCAGCATTTGTGACAGATGTCCGGCGGTACTTTGAACGCGTAGCAGCCCTTTCGAGTTTTTCGAATTTTTTACCAAAACAAAGCAATTTTTCTGTTCTTTTCATTCTTATCGTGGATAATGAGTCTCAAGCCAGTGATTTATGGCTGAAATAGAATCATGATTTTTCCGTGAAGGATTCCTTTAAAGGAAGCTTCCTCGATAAGGTCAGAGATCAAAGAAGAAAATCTGTATAAAGGCAGCCCCTCTTTGCCTCTCACCCCTCCCCCTTCAAGGGTACGGGACGATGTGGGTTTCGCAGCTAAGAGTATGCCCCCAGCGAGATAGCAGGGCCGTGCCACTGTTGGTGTCTAGAAGATACCTCTTCCGTGGATCTAATGGATAAGAATTAACTCACTTCAGAAGCTGACACCAAGCTTTAGACAGTCATATTTTAAAGTGCTCAAAGTCCGAAACAAAGAACTCACTATAACTAAAAAGTAGGACTAGTTTCAGCAGTACATACTCCTCTTCACATACATCAAGTTCTCGAAACCTATTCACAACGGTCCTTTCCAGTTCGTTAACAACGACTTCTATTTCGGCACTAAAATGAAAAATTTCCCATTTTTTCCATTGATATCACGTATATTGTTCTTGACCTGAAGTAGATGTTAAGAAAAGTCGGATCTGATTCATAATTAAAAGTAATTTGTGCACGTACTGGGATCCACCGCTAGAGTGCTGCCTTTTCCGAGGGAAGGAAAAACCATTGCACAGTAGTAAACTGACGCTTTTGTACTTGAATGTGTTGAAGGACATAGTGAGTAGTACTGTAGGGATCATATGCTGTGTTGTCAGTTCCAGCTGAAAATTACATAGAAGCTTGACCATAAACGAAAAATTATTGCGGCACCCCAAGATCCATGCTGAAATGAGTAAATAAATATTATATTTAACGTACCCTTTGTTTTTCATCGAAGGTTGAAAATTCCTCGATAGCTGCCAGCCATTCGAGGTAATGTAGCACAAGACGGCAGTATGATGACTTTCACAGCGCTTTCAGGATCGTTGAGGGGTTTTGAACTCCGCCAACTCACCTGAAATTGAGATGTTTTGTACATAAAAGTTCCGCTTAGACGTTGACAATTCATTCTATACTTCCATTCGAATTATGTTCACAAAAAAACCTACCGTGCCACGTTTGCAAAGTCCTTTTAGATACGACGAACACTATAGGCCGTGAAGTGTGTGCCTGCCAATTGCTAGCCGAATTTACGCGTTTAAAAAAATCTTTAGCAGTTAGACCCACACACACCAACCTTCAATGCATGCTTCCTCAAACTGAAGCTATCAAATAAAAAACAGCAACATATCGTAAAGAGCTCCGATATGAAAATTTCACCTTTCCGCTGATTTAAGCTGGACGCTGGGTGAGAGAATGAGCTAAAAGACACCATTAGAGCACAAACCAGCATCCAACATTCTTCAACAAAAAGATCACATGTAGTAGCAGCGAATAGTTTGTAGGAAGTATGCTGATGGTTGAACTTTTCGCATAATGTCCGGTAGCTGAGCTGGTTCCACTGTAGAAGGTTTGATATTCCGATGGAGCGGCACCAATTTGGAAAGAGTCGACCGCATCCTCTTATCGACACTTCTAATGAATTTCCACCTACACTTGTGTGACCCGTTTTTGGAAAGCTAAAATGAGAAAGAAAACTTCAATGAACAGTTATGACAGACTTAAGTTATGAAAATCCCACATAATCCCATTCTAAACACACAACCACATCTATTTCGAGCTCTCATCCTCTCATAAACCATTCCGCGAATCTCGATCGCAGCAGTACCCTTCAGTGAATTCAGGACCCACATCACTGTTATCTACTCTCTATCTCGGCACGGCTTGGCCCGTTTTGCGAACACACAACACACACACAACCCACACACTCGCATCTCTCGGATAATGTTCTCCTAAGGGTTGAAAACGTCTGAACAGACATTCCATAGGAATTAATGACCAGAGGTTCAAGCCCTGCGTTGCGCTTCACAACAACACACCAGTTCCCGATTAGACACTTTCTCTCGCGCGAACATTCACACTCGCATGCTCGAGCCGTCTGTGTCTCCGCCCATACAGCGTGCGTTGAGGATCTCTCAACGTGCCGTTGCGAACTGCGCAACGCAGGGTTGACTCTGCTTCAGAAGCTTTCTTAGACATGGCGAGACACCGCTTTTCGCAAATACGAATGTCAAATATTGCAGCATTCTCACACGGTGACCAACCTAAGAAAGGGAGGTCGTTCAGGGTGTGGGAAGCTTTTTCAAAACGGTTTTTTGCATGCTGTAGGGACTCTCACGTAGACCACAATACTGCGTTTCGTTTTCGCTGAGCGGCCCCCTGAAGGCCAAAAAATGGTCGAAAAAAAATCGTTAAGAAGGGGTGGTTTTTGCTGCCTTGGAGTGAAGTTTCGGACCTGTACAAACGACCACCTGCATTTTGAAGGGCGCCGATGAAGATAATATCGAAACGACAATTCAAACACTCCAAATGAAGACACACACACGCTGAGAGAATGTACCGTTCACAGCGTCGTCGGGCACCCAGCCACATCAGCGAGTTCCAGTGGCGCAGGAGAGCGGGGTGAAGTGGGTTGTACGAGTCCTTGTGTGGATCGGGTCCGCTCCTGGGCAAACTTTTGCATTTTCGATAATCACCTCCAAATTGGCGCCAAATTGCTTCAGCGTCAAAATTAACGCTATATTCTCATTCAGGACCGTCAGTAGCCCTTGCAAATGGGTTTTCTACCAAAAATTGGAAGAAAAAGTTCGCAGCGCCAAACTGGCGCCAAATGGCGCCGACGTCAAAAACGAACGCCATAATCGTGTACAGGACCCTGATCTACCCCCACATGCCAAATTTCAGGAAAAATCTAGGTTTTGACCTAACTTCGAAAAAGAGGGTGGCCATGGGCTACAGGTATGACGACCTGTAGCCGAGCGACTTGAATACGAGTGCGGCGCCGAAATCAAGCGCAATGCCTTGTCGGCTCACGGGGAACTAAAGTTCGGTTTCATAGGGAACATCTTCCATCATGTCGCAGTCCTTGAAATCGCCTCCAGTTCTACACACACAACACACAGCCGTGGACCCAATTACCACGTCTCGATGAAGGGGAGAATCTGCCGACTTCAAAATCATGGTGCCCTTTCCATTACCAGCCTGGGTGTCTCCCATTGTCCATTCAGCAGTGATACTTCTCGTTATTTGAGAAGGATAACTGGGAACTCGTTTCCAGTGCACCGGCTGGAGGCAACTATGGGCTACTGACCTATCACTGGCCAATTTTTCGGATCCAGGTCAAATTCTCAATTTTCTCAAGAACTTCTGATTTAGGGAATATCGAGTGCCCTGATCACGAATATGACATTAATTTTATCCGATAGCTTCAATTTACGCTAGTTTGGCGCCGTTTGGCGCCTTCTGGCGCTACAACTTTTTTCCACAATTCTGGACACACAAAAAGTTCACTGGCATTCTTGCTCATGGTCTTAATAATATACCTAATACGTGCTGGCCTATTTAAGGAAATTCGCAACTCCACCAAGTGCAAAATTCTGCAGTCATCAAATGATGAACCTGGAACACGTTACCCAATTTGGCACTTCAGAAGCCGCGCTCCGAAAATGAAACATAGTATTGCGGCTCCCGAGAGCCCCTACGGCTATCAAAAAAACAACGTTTGACCAAACGGCCCCACCTGAAACGCACTCCCTTGGGTAAGATGCACGATACCAAAAAACGAGCAGAAAACGCTAGGAGCATTACCATAAGCGAGAGGCGAAAACGCCCACCTATGCCGTCCCACTTGATAGACGTCAAACACACAACACACACACACACACACGCCCTTGTCGCAGCTTGAAGTCAAGACAGAGTCGCGACAACACACAAAGAGCGCCCTCTTTTCTCTGGTCAACAATCCCTACCAAGCTTTAAAAGTATTCGCCCATGTAACCGTACCCGTCGCCACATAATTTTTGTTTTCTTTATTACCATACCATTCTACTTGATGAATCATAAGTTTCTCCCACTGATTATAAGTTGTTGGGTATCCTTGGCTGTCTGCGCGCGCCCGCTACTGGTACCAATACTCCGCCTTTAACAAACAATGTCGGGAACTTCAATGAAAGAGTTCTTGACATTCGACGCAAAAATAAAAACTGACTCGGATCCGCCTGAATACCACAGTCAGATTTCGAGGCACACCCGCAAGGAAACATCTAAGCTGCAACTTCACATATATCACCCAAGGTGGTAGCGTACGTTCCTTGTCACACAAATCCTAAATCAACAAGAATCGACCACCATTCATGTCGGCTGGGATAGTGAATCGATAATTCCAAAGCGCAAAATTAAATCGCCTTCCCTACATGATAAATGAGCCAAATCGACCGAAGAAGATGCTTCAATTGATTTTCGTTCAGTGATGCGGAGCGCAAAGAAATCAAGTCCTGCCTTGCCAAGTTATAAAATACGAATTTCAACAAAGTCAAAATTTTCGACTCGCTCACTCGTTCGACGTACACTAAGGTTTTCACATCGCTCACCGTTCTAGATTTACGAACATTCGAGCAATGTACTTCACTCCTTCAGCAAGACCGAAGCGATCAATAAAAGGTATTTCCATGTGGCAAATATTCTCGAATTGTGACTGAAAATATCTTTGTTTCAATAACTTGCTTTATTTTAAAGATGTTGTTGTGTGAGTCGTATTCTGAGAAATTACTGCGTACGCGCTACCTACAGTGCCAAGAAGAAACTCCCTAGAACCATATAAAGTCTTTATTCTGTATGAATAACTTTTCAAGAAAAGCGGAGTTAGTAGTGCCCAAAAATATGCGCAAGGGCCTGCCCATGATGCCCTTCCGCTTATTCCTCAGGAACGTTAAGTTCTCAATCTATTGCAGTTTGCCATATTGGGATGACCTTTGAAAAAACCCAGTCTCAAAAAGCTCGAAGGCAGATAGCTCAACAACAAATTGGAGACTCAAAGAGATACTGGGGATATACTGTAGTTACTAGAATGGGAGACAGGCCGCAAGAAAGGGGGTGATGCACGTTTAGCCGCAAAAGACGCGCCCCTATCGGTCGAGAAGGGTTGTACCGGCGACGCTCCTACCGCGCCATCCGATTGGCGAGTCCCTCGCTGTCGCACTCGAGCTGGAGGGTTCTGGCCGTAAGCAGAGAGGCAGAGCAGAGACGCTCTGGTTAATGACGTCAATACTCATATTGGAATCAATTTCAAACATTTTCGTACTTCTATATACCTATGATTTTCTCAACCGTAAGCATTTGTCAGCTTTCCCAAAGAGTGCTTAATTCATCTACCGGCACACGGCACAAAAGTAAAACAATCCCACTAATTCTTAAAGTGTCATTAAAGCTCACAAAGTGAATATCATCAAAGTCAAAATACGGTATGACGCTGTTCTCCTCCTTGGCCTTGATGACGAATCGATCACCTCCTTTTAATTCGCGTAATTTGCCAACCTCTGGAATCGAAGAGACAGTGAAACTGCACATTTTAGAGCAAAAGAATAACAATAATCCAATAGATCAGTAAGATTAGTGCTAGAGTTTAATCAATCACCTTCAGGACACATTCTAGCCTTCAAACATCGTTGAAATCGGCACGATCTGCACTTCGACCTTTTCCCTAGAAAGACATGAATGAGGAACGACCATATACAGGGAGGGCCAGAAAAAAAAGACATTTTGCCTCAGGTCGGCCTTTTTTTTCTTCGCAGAGATTGCCGTCGTTGACGGAAGTTCCTCAGCAAAATATTCCCTAAATGTCCCTCTATAAGTACACGCAGGCCCTCCTTCACTACCCTCACCGTCTTCAGAATATGACGTCATCTGTCACCGTCGTCGAGCTCAGGGAGGCCTACAGTAACTGCTTCAGCCTGAAGCTCTTACATAATTTCTTGGATCGATTCAACGTGGGATAGTTTCCTAGGGACATTAGCTCTAACTATGCAAACCCCCTCGGAACCCGCTCGACCAGAGCACCAATTTCCGGGGCAAATTTTTCTGATGCCTCGTACATTACATGTCCATTAATGAAATTTTTATGAAATGAAATGCGCTCCTCAATCTGACTGGAACCACACGCTTGCTGAGCACAGTGGCTTTGAATCCCATTTGATCGAAGACAAAATTTCTATAGTGCGCCCCCTCTCTGTATACAATGCATCTATAAGTTATTTTCTACCATCACAGGCAGCACGCGATTCAATCCACCAAAACTTTGGTGATATTGCAAGGCTCTACTTCAAATACGGCCTTGTGGACAATGCATTGAATCGCGTAAAAACGCTCGCCTTTTTGTTTGCAAATATGATATGGTGATAATTGTTTGTCGGGAATAAACCCAAGGGGCGGGTACAGAGACTCTAAGCTCTACTTGACTCCGAGGTGCATATGTGAGCAATTTCCATTGTCTCAGAGTTTCTGCCCCTCTCTAGCCTCAGGCCTAGAGGGTGCTTCCATATCTTGCGATAGCGTAAATAAATAATAAATATTCATCATAAAGTACCGCAGTGTGCTTCACAACTCATATCAACGCATTCCTTGAAACAGCTGCTCAGAGTTAATGTGAAAAATCATCTGCTTATTAGATACAGTGGGCACAGAAAACTGCAGTGCACTTTATTTCAGAAAACAATATGAGCTAGAAAATCCTTAATAAGAAATGACGGTAAATGACTTCTGGCAACTTGCCTAGAAATAGCTGCGCATAGTAATACAGTAAGACAATTATTTACCTTTTTCTACAATTATTTTGTCACCCTTCTCCTCACTTTTCTTTCTTACCGAGCGCGTTTTTTTTACTAAAGTTCTTAAGTGACTATTCATGATGTTTTCGTGCTCCTCGAGCGAGGAGGATCCACTGGACCACTCTTGCACGCGACAGGGACGAATGGAGACGTTGCTGGCGCCCGCTCGAGCAATTCGATGATCAACGGGACGACAGGTGATACAGGTGATCTCTTGCTATTTTGCTCGATTTTAGAAAAGGACCTTAGAGAATCATGAGCCCTCTCAGGAAGGAAGATACTTTGTCCGCGTTGAGTGAACTTTACTTTTCAGGAAGTGGCATGAGTCATGTACGCAGTTCTACTGAAGTTTCTTGTAAAAAGAAATAATTTCTACTGAGCAAAGTAGCGGAAGCGAGTAAGATAACCTGAAATCATTCGACAGCAGCCTGACTTCTCACAAATGTAATAGATTTTCCGTTGAACAGCCCTTGCGAAGAAGATTTTGCAGCCTCTGAAAATCAATTCGATTAAACGTATTCGATAAACAAAAAATTTGTTCAACAATTGTCCCATCTAAGCTCCGCAGTGCTATCAGGGTGTTTTGGAACATACTACATAATGAGCCGATACAGTAGGACGTAAAGTAATTTGCTTCTCTTAAGATATTTTGGGATAGACTTCGTCGAAAACGAAGACGATTATCATGTCTGTGATTATGAGGCATCAACGATCAAAGACTGGAAATACTGCGACATTCACAATAGTGATGATAAGATGATAAGATGGACGCGATTAGATGATCGTTGACTGCAGGGATTAACAAGTGTGTTTCGTAGAACTGTTTCATGCAAACCCCCATTACTAGTCGATCAGGGGCACCTTACCGACCTCCAGCACGATTCCACAAGCTGGATGTGTGTGATCTGCACTGGCCCTAGCATTTACTCAGCTTTCAAGGGCAGCTATTTAGACAGGTTCCGGAGGGGTTTGGAGGGGACGTGGTGGTAGTCGATGGTACGGCAATAGCGAAAAAGGCAAAGAATCATCAAGAAATGTAAAACGGGACTCTTTGTAGGCCGTTGACTTTCGCTCATGGACAGGCACTTGGATTAAGAGCTATGCGACTAATGGACAGCAATTTAGCAGGGTCAACCGTTACGTTGGACCGATATTGGAGCGACGTTGGACCGATGTTCACCGCTCTCCGCGCCGGCATTCACTCTCGCCACCCGCGAGCCGTCTGTGTCTCCGTGCGTACGTTCACTCTCGGCATTACTCTCGTCGTCGCGTTGGGACTTGTCCAAATCGTGCTCACAATCGACTCGCTCCTTGTGTTCGCTCTTACACAATAGCTCGTTCAAGATCACCACAACTACTGGATTGACGCATTTAGGGCCTAGCGCTTATCCGATCAACAGCACCTTTTCGTCGTGAAAGCGCCGACTCTCCGCCTTGAACAGCCTAGCTACTGCTCCTTGTGGCGCATATACTTCCCCGGAGCGCTCCCTCTATATCAATCGCTTCCTTTAAATGAGCACTGGGAAGATCTACAACTCAATGAGCAAGTCAACGCTTCACATGGATGAGCACGGTTCTAGTTCGAAACAGCGAGAGCCCTAGACCACCTATGCCTACTTAAAGGAGGAATTCACGATTAGAATGAAGGTCGAAGAAAGGGAAACTGACCTAGTTGAGGGACCCACGGACCTCCTGAGGGTGCGAACTGACGCGCAATTCGCATGGAAAAATTTGACCTCGGCGACCTATCATGCCTCAAAGCTGGCGGGTCCGGCGATCTCCGCCCACCGATCATCTGATCACTCGCCGTAGTTCAATACGTGGCGAGTGATTAGATAGCTGAGAGAGCGTAGTGTTGAAGAGGGCACAGCGATGAGAGTCGCATCAATGCTCGAATCAACGGGCAAGGAAGGGGTACCATTTCTCGGGTTCTGGGCCGTTTCTCATGGTTCTTCCTTCTTTCGTGTACCACTCACCATCCCTAGGTTAATTTGAAATGGGTTGCTTTTTCATCGTGAATTCGTCCTTTAAGCTCTGTCATTTCATCGGCGCAGCTGATTGAAATTTTAAAGCACGCCGCCGTTTTTGACACATTTATTAGTTTGACAAAGCGTGATAGCAGCGACGATGGAAGTGCCCTATGAATTTCCACCGCGATACGCTAGGGGAAAACAAAAAAAAGACTAATCACGTTGAATTACACCATTCGACCCTCGATAAGACTTCTTAGCATGGAAGGAGCAACCGTTACTCTGAGCTCGATCAACCTGATATCTGCTATATGTTATCGTTTCTATAAGCCGATTCCGCTTTTAAGAAGGTCCGGCAGATTATCTGCATACTAATAATAATGCGATCTTTTAGCTGGTCTCAAAGGTCCCGCAGGGTAATGAGACGTTTGGTTGGACAAGTCATAGATTGGTTTCCACTTTCTCAGCTTCTCAAAAAGGAGAAATCGTCGAAACATTAGCCGACTAAACCATTATCAACCTCGTGCGCATTGAATCAAAAAGCTAGCACGACTGAGATTGGTTGCCAAATTCAAAAAATGTAAATATAAGCGTTCCTTCCGGCCTCATCTTTTAACCAAAAGTTCTTTGAATTGAATCATATTGAGATGGAATGAAAAGAAACCTAAATATAAATGAGAGAATCTCTGCAATCCATGATCAAGGCGGTGTGGTTATTGAACTCGAGTATGAGAGTAACGTTTTTGGACCACCAGTGGAAAAAAGGAGGAGAGATTATTGAAAAGAAGGAAATGAAGTCTTTTGCAACGACTAGGCAATAAGCAAGATTAGAGATATCGACTACAGATGAGAGAGCACGCCGGGGCGCGATCCCTAAAGATCGCAACAATGGGAGTGCACTGATCCATACAGTGGTCTATGTCCAATGCCCCTAGTGCCCTTAGGTGACTTGAGTCGTGAAGGTGGCACCACCTTTGCAGTCGCATACCTGACATCCTCATTCACGAAAGGGTTTGTACCTATGAACCTAATCCTGGGCTGAGCCTTCAATCACCGAATAAATTAAAACTGACCCGCACACAACTCCTCCGTAGTGTAGTGTTGCACCCTCAGCGGCACATACATGACAGGTTGATGACGACGGTCGTACAGCTGTCGTAGGAGGCTGAATTCATTCTGAATTATAGGAACTTGCCAGGCCTCTCAAAATATGGATTTCTTCAGATCTGTTTCGCGCAAATTGAGATAGTTAGCATTGAATACATGCAAAGGCCCATTTTTTACTGAAGAATTCTAAAAAAAATCGTAGAATGGAATCAACTTCTCTCCAATGGAACTCCACTTACAAGAGAATTCCACGATATGGTCGGATGTGAAAGAAGGGGAAATATACCTAAAAAAGCAGACGGGCACCTTGAAGATGCAGAAGGACAAGCGTTCTGCAGCAGAGGGTATGCTCACAGCGATCTAGCAGGGTCATACCTGCGCCGTTCGGGCCGCTGTAAGCCCACCCTTTCGCCGTCTGACTCTGGCGGTCCAGCGGAGAGACCATTATGTTGAGGAGAGCAGCAAAGATGAGAGTCGCATCAATGCGTAAATCAACGGGCAAGGAAGGGGCTTGGGCCGTTTTTTCGACTTTAAAAGCCTACCCAAAAGCTCCGCTCTTGGGACTATAGTCTAGGCTGGGGACGTTGCTGTTAAGGTAGCTATTCAACAATATTAGTTTGAATAAATATGCGTGAAGAAGTACCTGAAATTTGCGTTGGCTTCAGCTACTACCCTCTTTATTCAAGAGGTGAGAACTTGAAAGTGTAGATATTTTCCAATTTTTTTTAGCAGTTTTTACTGCTAATTGTAAGACCATTTTTTGGGATTTGGAGATCATTTTGTTCAAATAAATAGGTCTCTGTTACTGTACTGGTCAGCATTCTTATCAGAAACTTAATTGGATGGCTAATTATAGGCTGGAGAGAGGTTTATCGCTGTCTGTTGTTGACAGATGTGGCAATTTTCTCGCTTCCCCGTCCATCCGTTGATACTTGATCGCTTTATCATTCATTTAACGTTTAAAGTATTATGTGGTTGTACACGTAGACTAATTATTTCATCATAGGAGCTCAGGAAGAGTTAGTCTTGCCTCACACGTACTCTACAATGGGAGGAGGGTCGTTTGCAAGATGCCATGTTCTCTATCATTGTATTGTAGTTTGCATTTTGTTGAGCTCAGGATTGCTTCATTTCAGCGAAAGTTTTGATACCGATCGCCCGATACTACACGGGTCTGCAAAACTTAAGGACGAGATAGATTATGTAACATAACTTACTGAGTTCTGGGGGTCCTTGAAAACGGATGGCTGTATTTGCTTTCTGCACTGTAACTGTGAGGCTTCCATAAGAATCCTTCTCCAGGCGAGAGGGGGTGCCTCCTCTCCTCCTCATTCAATCCTTCCTCAGCTTTGGGGGAGACGAAAAAGGGTTACATCATAGGAACGCCATACCTCTGTGTTTCTATCTGCCATACAGAGCAGTGCGACCCCTCAGGGTAAAATGCTTCAACAGTGGAGGGTAGCCGCGCTGCTCTAACTGCCTGGAACACAGAGGTATGGCGGTCTATGAGCAACTTATTTGTTCTCTCAAGCCTGGGGAGGATTGCAATCAGAGGAAGGAGGTGCATCCCCCTTGGGGAAGGATTGAACACCGCCCCATGTGTGATTAGGTGCCAAGAGCTATGATACTTGGCAGTAACACATCACCGAAAAGTTACGTTCTTTCTTAAGTTTTGCTCACCAGTGTGTAATAGTTTACGGGGTGTTGTCGGACATTTCTGGTCGCTATGTCAAATTATGCAAATCGATTTTACGCGTACAATCTTGCTTGAAGGCACGAGTTCGATGAGCGCCAGCGCTGAATGTAATACGCGAGCATGGGATATTTTTTTGTTCGGGAAGTTTTATTGTGTTGTTGCCTGCCATTTTTTTTATTTGCTCACTTTTCTATGTCACACATTTTTTAATGAGATCTATTTTTATAGAGATTTTATAATTTAATGAAGAGCTTTACATGACTCTTGTGAAGTGGTTAGAATTATAAGAGTGATTGCGTATTTTATTTCATCTAATGACGTTTATAGTTGTAGCTGAGTGTGGATCATTGGACTGAAAAAGATTATCCAGAGATCAGTGAGCTATATCTGGGATGCTATTCACACGTAGTCCAGGAGAACAGATATAGGGCTACTCCTCATTCAATGGCTGCTTGTTTGTGAATGGGACTGCGTGCACGTACGCAGGTGTGTTATTTGTCAGCTTCTTAAATCTCTTAGTCCGATTACATTAGATCGTTGTAAGAGATCGATGCGGATGAGGAGTTACACGCCCTTTCCGTGGGCAGTGAGCGTATGTATGTTTCATCTTAGTGATAAGGCCCTGATAGATTTACAGCTGTCTT